GAAAAGTTGGTGTCTATTTACTTGTGACCACGCTGTGTACATTCGCTAAAACAAACAACAACTTACTAGTCTTTTTTTTTATAGTTGATTTCATAATAAACTCAGGATATTCTAATAAATTGTGCTGTTTAACTCTACAACGATTATGTTATATAAAAGAATTAACGATTCCTTATTGATCTTTCAAATGCATTTGAGCACAGTTGAAATAAATAGCTTATATGAGTTTTTGTTTCTATAGTTTGAGATTATGGAAAATGGTTTGTAAATGACATGTGGTGTTTAGGCCAAGTAAAAAATAAATAAATACATGTTTAGCGTCCCCGCCCGCTACCTTTTTTGCAACCGCCTCCTCCACTTTTTTTGGCAATTTTTTCCGTTTTGAATTATTGTTTTTCGATCATACAAAGACTTCTGAATACAGTTGATTCATTTTCTCCATTTTCCTGTTATAAATTCTGTATCGTTTTGATGAAATAATGAAACAAAGAAGACTTCTGTTTGACATGAACCTTTTGAAAACAAGCAACAATCATGAAAAAAATGGTGCAAACTTTCTTTAAAAGAGGCCATCAAAAATAAGTGAATAAAAAATAAGACCTCCTCCATTTTTTTTAAAACTCTGGACGCTAAACATTGTTTTTATTTACTTGGCCTTATAATGATTAATGATATTATTATATGTAACCAAATAAAAGTAAACCCATAAAGAAATTTTCAATTTCGTAAATATTTTCCTGCATCCTGTATTGAGTGTGTTTACGTTAAGAGTTAGTTTATTTACTAACAGTAGTTAACTTTGTTACTTAATAGTTTGTTGATATTGTATATAATACACGAGCCACGAGAGAGAAACGTTAAAGCTCTCCTAACATGGGATATCCACATTATAAATGCTTGGGTTTGGAGAGTGTGACCACTGGTAAAGTTGTACATGGCAAAATGTCTACAGTTGTGGTTACACACATACCGCTAAACCTGGAAATTTTGGTAGTTCTGTAAGCAAGCCAAGCCTCCAGTTTCATAGCACATTCAACCTAGCTTTCGGAAGTACAGTAGGTTACCTTGAAAGGGAGAGAGCATTGTACTTATGGCAGTTTTGTCTGTTGCTTTCTACTTTATGCGAGTTATAGTTCAGTATAAGTAGTATTTTTCGAGTGTATTATTCTAAAGGTTTTAAACAGGTTTTCTAGAGTTATTTCTTTCGGGTTTGTTTAAACTACTGTTTTGCTTTTATTCTCAGTTCAACACGTATATTGTATACGTTTTTGTCGTTAATCCATTGCATTGTGCAGAACTCTGCCAGTGTTTGATAGCAAGTGCAGAAAAATGACATTTTAAACCAAAATCCAAGATTATTTTGCTTGTTATTAGGACGGTTTACGTTTGTAAATCCTGACAAGGGATCTTAGATTGTTTAACTGAGCTTACAGCTTTAAAGCTACAGCTTTGCAATGCAGTTTATTAACTGACTTTCACCAGAGGGCCAATGAATAATCGAAATCATAAAGTTTTTTATTTGGTTGCAAAATAAATAAAACTTACCATTTACGATTTAGTGCCGTTATATCATTAGACGTTTCAGGAAACGTTCCTTTACGTACTATGTCAGCTCACAATTGTTGAGTTATCGAACTTTTTTTTTTTAACTAGGTAAATTGCATTCGAGTAATGTTTGAACCTGCGGTGGAACAAAAGAAAGTACAGTCATCAGCATAATTCTGAGCTTTTCACTTATAACCAAGCTAAAGTAACATACTGAATTTGAAATATAACCCATAAACACTTTGAAGTTGACTAATTTTCTAATATTTTAAGGACGCAGAGTGATTTAAAATAAGTTATGAAAATGGCATACCTGGAAACTGGATAAACAAAGTATTTTATCTATTTTTTATATAAGTACGATTACAGGTTACAATACGTTTAGTTAATATTCATCATAGAAAATAAGATTTTAACCAGTAGCTAAACCATATAGTTTAGGACTAAAATGATTTAAAAAAATAATAAATTAAGAAGTCAGTCATGTATAACAACCTGACAAGACATGATAAATGTTATAAATCAGTACACTAAAACCTGTAAGTACAATGTATTAAATCATCATACGAGGACGCTTGCTGTAAACTATATTTCCATCCGTAATTGTAATATATCACGAGGTTCATCCAGCATAGGAGATTTAGGGTGGCATTATTTTACATATATTAAGTCAATGTATAATAATGTTTATAAACGTAATATTAATTCTGAAAACATTTTAACGTTACGTGATTCAATGAAAGTATAAAAAAATAAAAACTGGAATGGGTTTTTTACTTAAGAAAAGGCACCTAAAATACAAGTCAATTGCTATTTTAATAGCACACAATTTAAAATTACATTGTTCCAGACTATATTTTTTGTATAGTTTGTAAACAATCCCAAACTGGTGGATGTAACAAAATGACGTTATAGCAGACTTATTTTTTTATAGTATATTCATCATTGTAAAGTACTCGAAACTAATGTTAAATAATATTATCAGGCGAAAGAAAATTGGATGAAATACATATTTTTGAATGTTTATATATTAAGAAACCTGTATTTGGGGTTGTTTCTAAACATGTTAAAATTAAGATTTCAGAATAATAGATAAACTTCGAAAGCGCATTTTATTTAAATAAACTGCCTTTTATTAAAATAAAAACACGAAAGAAATTTATTCGTTATTTTGATGTTTTCTGTTAGGTCTCTTGAATTTAGCTGCGATCACTCAGTTTGTATGATATAGGTAGTGAATGGCTTAAGTTTATTCTTGGAAAACGACAGGAGACGCGCCAAAATACTTAATTACGCGACTATACACTTGTTTAAAACGATGTAGCATATAACGTTTTTCAACTTATCTGTAATCGCTATTTTGTTTTCTAGGGTTGGCTTGTTTTCAAGTTTATAGCGATCACACTCGCGCAGTTTGTATGATATAGGTAGTGAAATAATTTATTCTTTAGAAACGACAGTGATGTTTGCCAAATTTAAAGCCGAATTGGTCGTCTGGACCGGTAGTTTTTGTTTTAATGTTGCAGCAAAAAGACATTGTTTGTGAGAGATTTTTTGTTTAACGAAGTTTCTTTTGAGATGTATTTTCAGAGTTCTCTGTATTATATGGGTCATGACGTAATTTTGTTCCTGAAAACGACGGATACGATGTGTCACTAGTGTGGGTATTCACGCGTAGCTCCGCGTTTCACGAGGTAATCGGTTTCCTCCTGTGTACGTGTTTGTTTCCTGTAAGTTGGGTAACTCATTTCCTTCTATATTTGCGCCTACTCTTCAGTAAGAAACAGATCGAGAAATATAAGGCTCTACTATCCTGTAATATAGTGCGCTTAGCTGATGAATTTGAATGACAGTTCGTTTTTACGACTTCGCTGACCTTGAAAAATTTATTAACTTGTGTGTATTCAAATATTCGGCAACATTTATGATAAAGAATATATTATTCGTTGTACTGTCATACGTCACGTACTCTGAGTCCGGGGCATCACTAACTTGCCGTGTTGCACAGTTTTGTTGTACAGTAAAAACATTAGTGTGCTTTGTATCAGGTGGTTATAATGCTGTGGAATTATGAGATATGCGCATGTACAGTGCTAGACTAGAATTAAACAATCGTTTACTGTTACTTTTAACATAACATGTCGTTACACGAGGGGAGTTCATTTATATCCCGTATAATTGCCCATCGTGAAGAAATGAATATGAATGATTTGGAAATTCACTGTAAGTATTACTGTCAGATTATAAATTATCGAATAGTTTTGTATTAAAATAAGTTAAACGTTATCCCTCAAACAGCAATATAATGATATAATCATAAGTTAACACCAATCTCAGTCGTTTTGCTTTAGCTGTTATTAGACATTAAAATGTATATATGGTTTTCATAAAAAATTTTCAAGGAAACTCTAATAACTATTATAATCAAGATAAAAGAAGAGCAAAAACACTTGAAATTAAAATATGTGCTGTGATTTACCAAGTAGTGTATGAAAACAGTATTAAAATACACGAGTGAGAAGTAAATAATATAAGTTTGCAAAATGCTCTAAAAGAAATTATTTAGAAAAGTACTTGGAACAAACACATCGATATAAAATGGACATATATTTCACCGGAGCCGTCTATATCAAGTACATTTTATGTATCACGCTTTTAACGGAGATTAAGCTTAGATGACCCAGTGGACATTGTCTTCATCCTCTTTTCTATAATTATCCGTATAAACATAAGACTGTTACATATTGTTGTTTATTATCTCACTAACATTTTGTTTTAACCAGATTGATGCATTTATTTCAACTACATTTCTCAATATTATTGTTAGCTCTTTCACTTCCACGAGCGATACGTTTCGATCTCATAGCCAGGTGGTCAGGGCGCTCGACTCGCAATCTGAGGGTCGCGGGTTCGAATCCCCGTCACACCAAACATGCTCGCCCTTTCAGCCGTGTGGACGTTATAACGTGACGGTCATTCCAACTATTCGTTGGTAAAAGAGTGGCCCAAGAGTTGGCGGTGGGTGGTGATGACTAGCTACCGTCCCTCTAGTCTTACACTGCTAAATTAGGGACGGCTAGCGCAGATAGCCCTCGTGTAGCTTTGCGCGAAATCGGTAACAAACAAACACAAACGTTTCTTTCTAGAGCACTAATATGTGAGTTGTGAATTTTGTATCACCATAAAAATAGGGTACTCTCCTTCAAACTTCCAAAAATTTAAGTTTCAGTTTAAAATATTAAAACACGTCTGTTTTGTTTTTATATTTATCTAAAATTGTATCTGACACTGGGCGTAGCAGTGATAAAGATAAAATATTTTGACAGCTATGCAATATTTCAGAAGAGGGTTACTTTATGTTGTTTGACATATTTTACTCTCCTTAAAATTTGCCCTAAAATCCTGTGCTTCAGGTATAAAGTTTATCAGATTAAAGTTCTTTTAGAAAACCGTGTACATAGACTAAATGTCGGAAATAAAGATATTATTGTCATGGAAGGGTATATTTTTGCTTTTCGAGAACGACTTCTTGCCTTTAGTAGCGGTAATCCTGATGGCTAATAACGCTAATATTTGAAGCTTGATTCCTGGGGTGGTTAGCACAAGTAGTCCACTGTGACGCTTTGTGCTTAACAGTAAACAAATGTGTGTGTGTGTGTGTGTATATATATATATATATATATATATATAT